CAGTTCAAGTCTGAGTTGGCGATCAAAAGATATATGGATAGAACTTACAACGGGATCTCAAAAACTAAGTAATTTATACTGGGCTCTTATCTAGGTTCATTAGGATTCTTATTGATTGGTTCTTTCATTCAAAGTAAAGCCTCCTTAAAGTACCAACCAATGGAGAAAGAATGATATTAGACAACTTGTTATTCAGGACGGGATCCCATTGGGGTAGGACGGATTATTTTGCCACCTCTATATGTGATAGAGAATTATACTATAACAAACAATTTAAATTTTTGAAGATTGTTAAATAGGGACAAAATTAAAAGTTAATTGCGTTTCAGATGTTGACTAATTGACGTTTCCTGTCGATTTCTTAGCCCCCGTTAGGCCCCAATTAATTTCCTTTTCATTTTTTTCTCTCCTATTTTCAACTACGAGAAAATTGCAGTCGAGATGTCAAACCTTTTGTTTATTAACAGACTTTGCCCAAACCTTTCATTTGTGCCACCGGAGGTACCAAACATTTCAAAAATCCGTACCCGAAGTTCAAATGGATGAAAATCGTTCATTTGATCGTTAGTTGACCAAGAAAAGTAAATTTTGACCTATTTTGACCAAATTGGAATGGGTAAAATGATAACTTGATTATTATCATATTAAATAGATTGAACAAAAAAATAAAAAAATTAAGAAAAGAAATTAGAAAAGGATTGTCTTCTCCCACCCCACCCCAACCCACCCCACCCCCACCATCTTTGTCCCTAAACCCTTCAGCTTCTACCATCTCTTCACACTCCGTTGAACAAGGTTGATGTCATCTCATATCCTTCAATTTGCTTATCACATCCATGCTTGAAAGGTTGAGTTGGAGTGAATGTATTCTCACTCTTGATGTCGACGACGTCCCTTTTTTTGGAAGCCTCATCGGACTGATTACTCCATATGGGACCTTTTGGGGTTTCTTTATGTGTTGAATCTACTACCTTTTTTTTGCTCCTTGACTACATCTATTGACAATTTGCGAGTATGGTTAGCGGGGACACAGGTGTCTTCTATCGTATTTTTGTACCTATTTGAACCCATGGTTGAACAACTAGGAGTTGTTGTCATACTGAGTTTCGGAAATGAAATGGAGGAAGAAATATGGCTGGTTATGAAAGATTTCTTAGTTGGTAAGGTGATTATCACTTTGTGTGGTAGGGATTAAATAACAATGATAGAATCCTAAAATAGCGAAATTGCAGGTTTTGAGAATGAATTTTCGGACATAAAATAAGAAGAAATCACGAGTATAAATGAATAAGACAATCTTGGAATGAAATAGGATATCTTAGAATACGTTTTTGATGTTTTCTTGTTTTCTGCTGAAACGAAGAATGCTTCAATTGGGGATTTAGGGAGTGATTTAGGGTTGTCGTGGGTGAGATACAATACGGTGGTGGTGGCTGGTTTAGGGACAAAGATAGTGGGGCGGGATGAGGTGGGGTGGTTGAAGAAGACGATCCTCTTTTAGCCCCTGTTTGGCCCCCATTACCTGAAAATGGTAATGGGGGGAATAGTATTTTTTAGAAAAATAAGTGGTTGAAAAAGAAGGTAAAGTTTTCGATTTACGTGTAATATTATTTTATAGAAGATTGTATGGTTGAAAATAGGAGAGAGAAAAATGGAATGTAATGTAATTTAATTTAATGTTAATCAAACAGGGGCTTAATTTCTTTTCTTAATTTTTTTTGATTTTTTCTTTATTTTTTGATTTTTTTTGTTCAATTTATTTATCTCTTGTTTGAGCCCCATTTTTGTCAAGAAAATGCATTTTTGAATAGTGTAATAACGTGAAATGTGTGATTAAAAAATAAAGAAATATTTTATATTTTCGTGTAATATTATTTTATTAAAAATGTGTGGTTGAAATTAAGAATGTATTTTTTCAAAACAATGGGGCTCAAACAAGGACTTAATATGCTAATTATCAAATTACCATTTTACCTATTTCAATTTGATCAAAATAGGTCAAAATTTACTTTTTTTTGGTCAACTAATGGTCAAATGGACGGTTTTCATCCATTTGGACTTCGGGTGCAAATTTTTGAAAGAATTGGTACCTCCGGTGGCACAAATGAAAGGTTTGGACAAAATCTGCTAATAAATGAAATATTTGATACCTAGACTACAATTTTCTCTTTCAACCACACAATCTTTAATAAAATAATATTACCGGTATATCGAAAGTTTTTTTGCGTTTTTCAATCATTCATTCTTCAAAAAACTACTATTTCAGGCCAAACGGGGTGGGTTGGCCTTGAGCCCATATGTGGTTCAGAATTGCTTAATAATCTAAGAAAAAGATTTTTATTCATTCCTTTTGTTAATTTTAGAAATTAAACTTAAAATTGCAGTTTAACCCATAAAGGTTTCAACAATTTCTCTTGAAATTCATCATTAACGTCTTCATTGTCCTCTTGGTGAGTTGTTTATTCACAAGAAGGCTATGCAGACCACAGAATGCTGGTCGAGGATAAGATACTGCAATCTACAATCTCCGGTAGCTTTTCGGTTCTTCGCAAATTCCACTTATTCATGTTAGTTCTCTCTCTGCGGACACTATTTTGTTTATATTTTCAAATGGTTTATTTATTTTGAACTGAGAATTCATTGTTCGTTATAGGTTTTAGTTTGTAATCTGACTGGTAAAATGTTCAAATTTTGATCAGGTAGAAAAAAAGATATATGTGGCCACCGTAGTTTAGTGAAATTCTCCATCAGTTTATGCCGTGTGAGTCTTAAATTTCGGTCATATTTGATTTGATGCACTGAATATGATTGGACAGTACAACAATGAGTGAGACCTTCTCTATGTAATATTGTCGAGTACTGTCCAGTCGTCCGAACAAACATGACGGTTTCTGGTTCTCTTTCATATGTCTGTTCCTGATTTTGTGTTCAACTTTTCGTCCAGGGATATAAAGCTAACGTAAGGGCTTTCGCCGGTCAGAAACAGAAGAAAAGTTTGAAAAGATTAGTTAAAATACGGAAGGGTAAAAATATACAACCAGACGAAAGCGTAAGTCTAGAAATTGAGTCGGCTTCAAGGGATGATCGTGTTCAAGATGACATTTTGACTTCCTCCTCTGATAATTTGGAGGTTCAGAACTCATTTGCGGGCGTCCCATCGAGGAATGCTGTGCTTCAAGCATGCACTGTCACTTCTTCTTTGATTGGCGCGTTGGGTATTTTAATCCGGCAGGTACACTTTTCTCTATGAACTTCACAAGGAATTGTTGATATTATATACATATTTTGATTGCGTTAACTGATTCAATGAATCATTAGTCATAATTTGTATATGTCGTCTAGAAATTTATGGAATGGTTGAACCTGTAGGTTTCTCATGTTGCATCAACAGAAGGATTGCCGATCATTGACTGCTCGAAAGATATAACCTGTAAGATTGAGAAAATGTATTCCCTCTCTCATTGCTATTGAATCGTGAGGTGGCTTGGACTGTGTAGAGTCTATTCATGTCTCGTCCTAATTATTCAAACTCTTTTGGCTGGCTGGTTTTGTGTATGTCAGAGGCGTGAAAATACTTGTACTATTTCGATAAGTCTCCCTGAAAATCTAAGTTGATCAAATTGTTCATTGATTGTAAATTTTCTCTTCATCATATCCGTAAAATGCTGCCAATTTGCTCATTGAAAGCAGTCGAATTTCATAGACAAAAATGCTGTTTCTTCATCTAACTTCATTGTTGTGTCATTACATGCTTTAGTTTCAACTCAGAAGCTTGTAATCTTCAGTTATTGTGTGAGAAGAAGTGTCGAAATTAGTTATTGTATTATTTTGTATGGTTATCTTGTTCATAATTTTCTTGTGCAGTTAGCTTCGAATTATCGCATTTACTGTTAATTACGGAACTAGTTATACTGGTATCCTCATGCCGTTACTTGTTATTGAAGACATGGACAGATTTCGCAAAGTCTAGTGAAGCTGCGAATCGGCAGGTTTCTCCATTCATTCTGTCTTTTCTATGAATAATTGGTTTTAATTCTCTTCTTTATCAGTGCTCTACGATTATAGTAAGGAAGAAAATGAAGCTAAAATCTGTACTCTTCAGTAAGTGAATATGTCTAATTATATGTTCTTCGCCAAATGCAGGTTCTTACATCACTAGAACCTCTGGATTACATAATTGTGGCATTTCTTCCTGGGGTTAGTGAGGTGAATCTTGTTATCCTATGTGTGAATTCATTACATATACAGAACATGGTACTAGTTTCGAAAACTACTTCGGATTCTTGGGATTTTTATAGGAACTTCTTTTCCGTGGCGCTTTATTACCTCTTTTTGGCGGCAATTGGACGAGTATCTTCGCAGTTGCAGCGTTATTTGGGATATTGCATTTGGGAAGTGGTCGAAAATACTCCTTTGCAGTATGGTATTTCCATAATTTCTAACATCCTCCTCTGTGATTTACACACATTTAAGTAGCTCCAAGAGATATGTTATACCCATAGATAATGTGGCATGCGCGTCGCTGGCAGAAAAGGGTCCCACAAAAGCCGGGACCTAAGTCTCGAACTAATGACCCAGTGTTAGTTCGAGAAATCTTATAAAGTGGAACTGATCAATATAATGTGACTCTACTTACAGGGCTACATTTGTTGCAGTTGCATATGGTTATGCTACGACTTTATCTTCAAGTGTCGTGGTACCAATGGCTTCTCATGCACTTAACAACTTGATCGGAGGCATCATATGGCGCTACACAATGCAATCACCTAAACAAATCGAGTAATCGCTTGCTGGTGCATTGCTTTACATGCACCTTGCCTATTCTTCATTAGTGCTCTTCCATGTATGTTCGCTTTGTTTTGATTTTTGGATGGAATTAACAAGTAGTGAGACATCTTCGCCTTCGAGCTGGCGAAGTTGAGGCCTGAAAAAAGGTTTATCTCGACCTGCAATGTTTGTATATACCTCTAAATAATTTAAGTTTTTTTGGTTGTTGTAATGGTACATTACAAGCTGCAAAAATTTGTCGTGTTTCTCTTCTTTGATCATCTCCAACTTTGTTGTGTGACGATTAAGTAAGATAAATTTTATTTTGGAGCAATAATTTAGATTATTTTGAAGTCCAAAAATCAAATCCAAATTAACGATGCAAACACACCCAAAAAATTTCCAAGTCTATAATTTTATATTGAGGTCCTTAAAGTGGATGTAATCCTCCTCCCTATAGCCCTAAACTAGTTTAATCTATTTCTTTAGGTGGTCTAGGATTAGTTTGTTATTTTATCAAAATCTATTAAGTATGCAAATCTAACAATTTTTATGGCTTGTTCAGGATGAAAGAAATAACCTAAGTTGTATAATTTTTACCGATAAATTGAGCTCTTCTTACTTTCATTACTCCTTTCGTCTGCGGTTTGATATCAAAATCTCCTTAAATGAATTAGCCAATCTCGAGTCGAGCCAACCTGGTAAAACACTCACTTTCTCACAATGCACCACATCAATGTTGGCTTGCGGTACAAGATTAATTATCCACCAAATTTTTTTTACTCACATTCCAAATATTGGTTATATTAGTCAACATAAAAGACTATAAACAGCAAAATTTGATTTCTTTGAAGTTGTGACAAAGAAATCCATTAATAGATCCAAGAACTTGGAAATGCTCATTAAAAAATTAATTTATGGGTCATAGAAAAAGAACACGTTTTTTGACGCAAATCATATTTTACTGATTGCTCACTTGACATTTCTACAAACACTTGATGAGCATTCAAGCAAGCTTCTGAACGTAGAAAATGGTGAGCTGCGCGGTAGAAGGAGGCTGCCCGAGCGACTACGTCGCCATATCTATCTCAATCCTCTCCATTATCTTGTAATTCCCATTTCTCAGTCCTCATATTTCTAAAGGTTTAAAATCGTGGATATATTATGTTTGTTTGCCTTGTGCATACGTTTTGAGCAAGATACTGTGTTGGATTTCTGGGGATGTCGGTTTTCAATTGATTTCATGAGTGTTATTCTATATTAGGGTTCTGGAGATATTGATTTTTAGTTGATTAGTTGTTGGAAATGCCATCGATGAATCTAATTGATGGGTTTATCGTCCTGAATGAAATGAAAATGAACATTTTTCTGTGTAAAGTGGTGAAGATTTGATGGATCTAAGATAAAAATGAAGTATGTGCAGAAGACTTAATCTTCTTTAGCATGATTTTGATTTATTACGTTTGCAAAAATGGGATGGAAAGCTAAAGATTGAATCTTTTAACTTGATTAATGTTTTAACCTAAAAAATGAGGTGAAGTTTTAGCATGGAAATAGTATGCCTGAGGGTAATCCAGTTTTGAGGAACTCTAGCAGCAATAGATGGAGAAGTAAACCACTAAAAATCAGTTTTTGTATCTAGGGCACCGTTCTTGTTGGTGGCTAGAAAATGCCTCTGTAGTTACTAATTGGTCAATTTCTGCGTCTAATTCTCAGAAATTTGTTGGATTCTAAAAAAATAAGTGAATTATATTTAAAATCATTGATCTTTCCCCCCTAAAGAGGACTTGTTTTCGTGGGACCTGAATGGGGCGCTAAAGATTGAATCTTTAGTTGTTGACATTGCTTTTGATTGAGTTACCAGTACTAATTGATGGTGGAGAGGGTTGAGAATGGCAATATGATATTTGGTTATGGAATAAGCAATACCCGAGCTTCAGAAACTCTTATGCAGGAAAAAAAAAGTTGAGAGAGAGTTTTCTCCTCTTTGAAATCTTGCTATGATGTCTTGTTGAATGTTGGCTGATCGTGTTACTGGTTCAATTTATGAATCATGGTTGGACTAAAAATAGATCAGAATTATTTCTTAAACAGAAAGATGATGCAAACATGTAACTATCAGCTTAAAAGACGTTTCATAAGTTAAATGTCCTTCACATGTTTGTCGCTACACTTCCTAACTTTTTAGTTAATATATATTTTGCAAGGAAAAAAAAGATGGATACAGATGATACGGTGTTCATGTGCCTGTCCCAAGGTGTTCATATACACTTGAATAATTGTTATACTTCTCTCTTTCCTTGTTTAAACTTTTGTATATAACTCATTTTCACAAACATATATCACAGTCTTATGAAGAGACGCTTAGTATTATTTCCACTTTTTAGTGTTAAATGACAACTGCTAAGTGGTTTATGTACAATTTCCATGAGCATGTGTAAAGAATTGTCTTTACACTACAGGCTTCTTGCCAAGGCGGTTGCACCCTATCTAATTCACAAAATTCCACGGCCTAAAGGCAGTAGCTTTTGGCTTGTAGCAATTCAAGTTCTTGCCAGCTTCAACCTTTTATTGTCACTCGTGGTAAAAGTTTTTAACCTTTACTTTTCCTAGATAAACTTGAGCAAATTTCTTGGCATCATTTTTCTGGTTCCAAGAGTAAATTTTTCCCATTGGCCTCAATAATTTTCCTATTTCCCTTGGGTATTATGGTGGCCTTTACAGATGGCCCTCAAGTTCTTGAAGTTCAAAAGGAGTCATTGGTGGAGTTCTTGCTATATTTGGGCAGGTAATCTTTTAAATCATTGATTACTGCCTTAGTTTCTTTTCTTCTTGGTTTAGTTGGCAACTCTCCTTTTCACATTAATTTGGCATAGGATTGGTAATTCAAATTTTGATTTTCTCTCAGTCTGGTTGGAAGGTCCCCTAGGGTTTGGCTTGCTGCTGGGCTGTCGCATCGTACAGGGTTTCCAACTATATAACATATTTGTTAAGTAAGTGAACATTTTTTTATAAGAAATTAAGAAGTAGATGATACATTAAAATTTTGAAGCGATTGTTTATTTTCGTGAAAGAAAAAAATTACATATTCCCTTCATTGATGAGGATGACCATATGCCGACCACAGACATGCTGTGATCAATGTGATGGGGAGAAAGCCCCTAAAGTGGACGAATTTAGTTCAAAGTTGAGATAATTTTTAATCCATAGAAGTATTATATCGGTGTTGATTGTTCCAAAAGGTCAAATCTACGGTATGTAGTGGTTCAAAATTCTTTATCTAGAAAAGGAAAGGAAAAAAATTTTAAAAAGAGAAAATAGTTCAATTATGCTTTAGGGAGTTAGGTTTTGTGTCTGATACATCCTTCTTACCGCTCATGTCCCTATAACAAACTCAGCCTACAGTTTTTTCCTTATTTTTCCCCAACCAATAGATATGATTAGTAGTAGATACCCATCAAAATTTTGTATATGATCTTACTGGTTACTTCTGATGCTTATGATGTTTCAGGAGGCGTTTGGCACCCATCCGATCATATATATTTCTTCCACTGATTCTCTTGCCCTGGATTGCTGGTTCTATATGTAAGACTCACCAAGCCACAACATATGATTCTGTTATGCTTGATGCTCGAACAACATTTGTATGATAAATGAGTTTATAAGATACAGTTTCCGAGTCAGAGGTAAAGTTAGAAGGTCAATATATGTAAATGATTCTCATACCTTCAAAAACAGTTAAGATTTCTCTTCGCAGTAGTTTACCTCATTTTTTATCATATTTACTTGGTTAATAGATTCCCTGTTAGTTCTTTGGTTTAATATCATATGTTTCATTGGTGTAGTTATTCACTTGAAAAAACCTCTAAATTATCGTTGCCACATGGGGACTCAGTGGATCATCCCAGTTATTTGCCTCCATGCATTATATATTGCTGCTTTGGTTGGTTTTACGGGAGCCATTCAACATGTAGAGTTCAGATTCCATGAACTCAAAGATCTCTGGCGGGGAATTCTCGTGTCTGTTTGTTCTATTGGTACTAATTGGAGTCTACATTATCACATGGGTTTGTGAGCATCTGATATTCCAAATTGTTCACTTATACGATTTCAAATTTATTTCTTTCAAGGTATATGGGTGGTTGCTTACATTCTGAATGAGGAACACGAAGATATTTCATGGGTTCAAATTGTCTCCAGATTTTTATTGTTAGTTACGGTACGTAGTGTTATTACTTGGTCATTCATTGTCTTCTTCAATTTTTATATGATTATGATCTAGGTGCATGCGCCGTTTTAATTTCGTACTTTTTCAGATGTTTGATTTTACAATTGAATATTTAATTTTTAACATCATGCATGAATTTCTTCACATCACTTCTATTTTCACTGTTTTCTCAGACAAGTATCCTTGTGCTGGCGTTCTTCTCTATGTCGCTATCTCAACCGCTCATCTCACTTATGAGCTTGAGAAAAAAGGATCATCCGGAATACAAGACAATGGGCCGTGCACTGGGAATACCTGATAGTGGGCTATTGTTACAAGAGGAATTAACTCAGTTTGCAAATCCTAAAGAACCTTTGGATAAGCTTCTTTTGAACAGGAAATTCCGTCAGTCATTCCTGGCATTTGCTGATAGGTAACAACTGCAACTATACTATATATCGTAGAAATTCTGTTTTTGTGGTTTGTTACTGGTCTAGAGATGTTAGAGCATGTCTATTCTTAAATTTTTTTCTTGTAATGTAGCTGTTTGGCTGGTGAGAGTGTCCATTTCTATGATGAAGTGCAACAGCTTGAAAAAGTTCCTGGTAATGATCATGTAAGAAGAATTTACATGGCGCGACATATTATCGACAAATACATAGCTCCAGGTATAATATTTATCACAAATTACATTGACTTTTAGGGCACGTTTTGTAGACCCCATTGGATTAGGGGATAGTATCAAGATAAATTATGGGGCATTGTTCTAATATGGCATTTGGTGCAATATCGTATTAGAAGACTGAATAAGTAATTAAATATAAAAAAATGACTATTTTTAGTTATAAGTAAATTTTTACATTGAAGAGAATTTTGTACTTGTCAGTAATTCTTCTACATGTAAGTGAATTTTTTTACTTATAAATGATTTTTATATTTATAAGGGAATTTTTGTCTATAATTAAAATTTTTAATTTTTAGTTATAAGTTATTTTTTATTTATAAGTGAATTTCTATGATGTATTGACTAGGACACATGACGTGTGTGATTTTTAAAGAAGTACTAACATGTTACGCCGTTGACATGATGATTAAATTTTTAAAAGAATTTCATTTATATAGAATAAAATTAAATTTAGTATATACTTTTAAATATAAGTATCTATTTGTTATTTAATAATAAATTTGAGTTAAAAATGTATAATATTTTTGTTAAGAAAAGAAAAATGATCATGGTAAAGTGTCTAATGAGTGTTGATATTCGACGCATGTCAATCACAGACACACGCCATTCTAGTTGAATCGTTTGTCCAATACATGTAAATTTTTTAGGTATAAGTAGTATTTTTTTATATATAAGCAATTTATTTTTACATACAAACAAATCTATCTAATAAGTTATTTTTTACTTATAAGTAAATTTTCAATTATAAGTAATTGCTTTTACTTATAAGTGAATTTTTTAGGTATAAGTAGTATTTTTCACTTAAAAGGAATTTTTATGCACATAAATGATTTGTTGCTATAAGTAAATTTTTTAGTGGTGAGTAATTTTTTATAATTAAGTAGTATTTTTATGTATAAGTAATTACTTATGAGTTCTTCCTATGTTTTCCTTATTACTCCAATTAGAAGTAACAAATTACACTATCTAAACCCACCTCATAGGATGGTTCTAATTCAATACGGGGTGGATATACTCTCCCAATGTCATATTCCTTAAAGGTATGAATTCATTCCTATTCATGGCTCGAATGAGAGCGATAAAAATATTTGTTAGGAAACAACTCTTTAAGTTTATGACAAATCATAGCATGGTATCTTCTATTCTGGTCAATTTATCCCACTAGTGCCCTGCACTGCCTCGAAACATGAAAGATGCAAATCACTTTATCTGCATCTGAAACTCTACTATAAGTTAGTTAGATAAAAATAATTCGAGTATTGTCAGCGCCAAACACCGTTGTAGGATTATTTTTATCCTATACGGTGTAATGCGGTTTACCAAAAACATCATTTTGGTACATAATACATA